GATTTACCTTCTCTTTGATACTTTGGAGATTTTTTTTTTCTTTCTTCATCCTTAGGAACCCTGTTGACCTTGCTTTCATTCTCAGTGACTCTCTTGCTTCTGTTTCCTCTAATGTCCTATACATATTATCCTGGGAGAGCTGGACCTTTCCTTTTTGGCTATTATGTTGTTCATTAACATCTCTGTCCCAGGGGTGGTAACTCTAGGAAGCTGGGGACTTAAAGAATTTATGAAACAAATGTAGAACATTTGTAGTAAAATATTTTTTTCTTCCAATCCTAAACTGATGTTAGAGTGTATTACATTCTTTATTCTTTTCAAGTATTTTTTTTCTTTTAGTTTCCCCTAATTTCTTTCCTCCCTCCCTTTCTCTCATTCACAACTATCCAGAAAGCTCTAATAACATAACAACTTCTTTTTTCCTAGAATCTCTTCTTGACTATCAATTAGGTAGAGAATATTCTAGCTGTGTAGTAAAGTTGATGGTCAAATAAAATACCTCCATTCAATAGCAACATTCGCTTACAAAGAATAGCATGCCATTTACATCTACAAAATGAGTCAGTTTACATCTACAAAATCAGTCAGTTTACTAGGTCACACTCTGTTCAATAATGCAAGTGATTGCATTATTTATAGTTTTTTCATATGTAATTGACTAACCTTTGCTTTTCTGAAACTTTAATAAACATTTTTAAACAGATCTTCAGGGAATTTAAAAAGAAAAATGAAACTGTAGGTTGTGGAGTTAAACATGGGTTTAAATCTCAGAGTCTAACTCTCAACAAGCTTTCTTAAAAAAAAATATTTATTTATTTATGCATACAAGAACAGGGTGGATAGGCCAGAGAAACAGGAGAATGAGAGGATTCACTGGAGACAAAGTGAGGAGGAGTATAGGCAGATCTACTGAAATACACTGCTGAGGGGAAACAGGAGATGCAGTGGCTGCAGATAGCTTGATAGCGCTGTCTTTAACCCCTGTGCCACCAGCGAGGTCCAACAAGCTATTTTTCTTTAACCCCTCTTTTCTTTATTTTCCTCCTCTTTATAGAGAGGTACCACTATAGCGTGAGATATCCTAACATAAAGTATGTATCCCATACCTATGTGAAATATGTTCTAATACTAGCTATTATTAGAAGCAATACTTTAGGAAAGTTCCAAAGTGTACTGGGTCACAATTGTGTGAAAACTCACATATTTATAGTATCGAGGATGCCATTTTTTTCACCTGTTAGCACCTAAGTTATTCAGTGGAAAGAGAAGATTAAGAAAATATAACTCAGTTAAACTTCTGTTTGCTACATCTAGTCTCAGGATCAAGAAAAATTGTGGCATTTAGTAGGAAAGTGGAGAAAAATTCATCCCAAATTCCAGCCTATCAGTGAGGACAGGTAGCATGTAGTAACAGGAACAAAAGAGGATTTGGAAGCAAGATAGGAGTTTTTGCTCTCTGTGAATAATTATGATATTGGAGTGGGTGTTTTTAGTATCCTCTCTGGGTGTTTAATCAGTGTATATCTGTGGCAGAACAGTTTTCTCCATAGAATGAGAGTTTAAGTAGATAGGCTTTGTAGTAGACTGATAATGGCCCCCAAAGATGTCCACATCCTCCTTCCTGGAATACGTGCATAATGTTACATTATGTCAAAAAGACTTTACAGATATGATTATGTTAAGACTGTTGAGATAGGAAGATCACAGATTAACTATGTGGGCCCAATGTAATCACAAGGATCTTTTTGTAAGAGTAAGTGAGGAAGGGCTAGAGAGAGATGTAATAGATTAAAGACTTGAAGGCTACTATGTCACTCAACCTCTCTATCCTTATTTTTCAATTTCCAGTTCTCCTACATTCCTCCCTTGACTGGATCTTATGTGTGGACTTACCAATCAAACCATGATTCCACTTCACAAACTCTCTTGGAATGAAAATTCAGAGGTAAAACAATAAAACACAGGTAAATTCTAATTGGACATAGGTTCAAGCAATGGTGACATACAAATTACCTTTATGCACACTATGAAATTGGCACATTGAACAGATGGTCCTGACCTCTCTGGTCAGTTGACTTCACTGCAGTTAGGATTTTGCTGATTAGGTAATTACAAGAACAACCCACCCTCTCCTTTAAACTGGTGCTTCTTTTTTGCTTCTTTTAAAAATATACCTAAGCTTAAAGGTTAAAGAGAAGTAGAGAGCAAGTTTAGATTTGGCCAGTCTGAATAAGAATTAGTCTGTGAATAAAGACTGGCAGAAATTAGTGTTTTCCTGAGACCAGAAATTCCTCAAGGTTAGAAAATGTGTTGTAATACAGAAGAAACCTTGTGGGGGTAATTATGCCCACAATGATCTAATAAGAATTTGGCAGTGTACACTTCAAGTACCAAATTATTTCAAAATTAAATATATAAAACCAACTCATTCAGTATGATAAAAGACTAAAATTAATTAAAGATTAAACATAATTAAAACTGCAATTTAAATGGAAAGAAATTTTATGAGTTAAGCTAGGCTAGAATAGAAGTAAATTATCCAAAGAGGTAACAGTGATAATACCCATAAAAAGGGGATGTAGCAGTGATAATACCCATAAACAGGGGATGGTGATATTTGATTACTGAAGCATTAAACACATCTCACCAGATCACTTTTTTTGAAATGAATCACCTAGTACTTAGGAACTTTTACTATATCCACGACACAGTAAGAAGACAGTGTATCTTAAATTTACTGATTTTTGTGTCCTCAGTAACCTGGCACTCATTATCCTAAGCCCTGAAGAAAGTATCAAATTGTGAGCCATAACCTAAATATATTAGTTTATAAGGGCTTTAATCAGTAATTTAACATTTAAAACACATTTAATTATTTTACTTTTTTTTAAGGATCAAAAAATATCTGAATTACTAATTTAGTTCTTTTTCAGTTATAGAGTACCCTGCTTTAAGGAAAAAAATAAGACTCAAGAAATCAGACAGATAGAACTGATAAGGTGTGTGTATGTGTATTATTGTCCATCTTGAGGAAAAAAAAATATTACAAAAAAAAAAAGTATTCCTAAAGTCCTGAGTTCAAAGTAATTTCAGAGCTGACTTGAGTAATTCTGGGGTCAAGATACTTTGATTTCATTGCAACCAGTGTTTTAATTTAAACAATATACATTACAACCATTTTAAAAGCAGCATATCATTTTTAAACCTCTACTCTGTGGCAGTCACTTAAAACAGCTGATTTCTATTACTTTCTGCCTTCACCAGTTGATAACCTCACAGATCTTTGGAAACTGATTTCAGGATGGTTCTTGTTCCAATAAAGGTAGTAGCTTTACTTAAGAGAATGCTACCTGTGATCCAGCCATCATTTAAAATCTTTTGAAATAAAATGCAAATAATATTTCGAGAGGCTATTAATCAGAAAGGGAAATGTTTTACTGACACCTGTAGGTTTTACCACAGGGTTGCATTGGGAGAGTCAATGGAAGAGCAGCTATGGCAGGTATTTGCTAACCTAGGAAGGTGGTTCTCTTGTCTTGAGGCTTTAGTCAAGCACACCATGCTGCCCTCTTCCTCCTGCCCACCCTGTGCTTGATGGGAAGAGAAGCCATCAAGAGCTACATATTCACACATATCTACAGATGAAAAGTGGCCCCATGGCTTGCAGTTCTAGTGTTTCTAAATGATATATTTGGTTCTTATTCTCTCAATCCTATTTCCATTTTGTATTAAAAAATTGGTATAGTACACACATGGTTTTAATTTTTTCCATAAGATTTCAGATTACTGGTAGAGTGCACTTTAGAAAGGCTGGCTGAGTCACTGTAAATAGAAGAAAATACAATTAATAGAAATAAAGTCACTACATAAAATTAGATTTTTAAGTAATAGAAAACATAACTCAGTTTATCAGCATTGATTATTTACACAGAAATTTAAAATCATACATATTTTACATAAAGTAAGGTACATGTAAAATTTAAACAAATTACTTGATTGTACAACAATAGAGGACAGTATTTCTAATTTTTCAACTGTAAGAAAAGTAACTCATTGTAAGCAAATAAGTGTTTATACCCATATAGGTCTGTGATTTGTTCTGCTAAACCCAAAGCTTAGAATAATGGTATCATTAAAATGGATAATGTCAGGCATTTCATTTATTGGTAAAGTGAAAGCTAACTAATTCTGCCAGAAGTTTTTTTAACTAATATAATAGATTATTTTTATATCATTTTGTGCATTTTTCCATCTCAGTTGTAATCCCTGTGGGCTTTCCATCACCAAATCACCCATATGCCATCACCATAGTCCAGTGCATTCCCCCCCCCCACTGATTTTGATTCTGCCAGAAATTTTACGTTTTAATCTTCCCTATCTTTCTAAAAAGAGAACATAATAGATTTTTTAACAGTAGATATTGGAAATAACACAGAGAGGAAGTAAGATTATAAGAGAAAGTTCTGTGATCTAGAGAAAAGAATGAGTGGCAAAGTACTGTAATATGTGCTAAGATGCTGAAAGTTCAAATTTAAAATCATTCTCTTACAAAGTCACAGGTTCAACTACATCTTTCTCTTTGTTAAAATCTTCCAAGTTAAGTTAGTCCTGCCAACCCCTGAACATATTCCCAAATTTATGAGATTGATGTGCTGCCGACTGTGCAAAGGAAGCAGGGCTCATTTTCCCAATTTTATAGCAGAGGTTGATGAGAAAATGGGTTTGCTTTACAGAAAGCTGCTATATAAGCAGTTTGTGCTATAGGACTACATGCAAATATGCTTAGGGCATTTTTCTGAAACAAGGGCTACATCTATTATGCATTTAACAATTTTGTTTCTTTTTTAGAATTTGAAGGGAAAAGGGTGTGTAGACAGAACAGGTCGGTGTTAGAGCAGCATCATTCTAGATATTGATACATGAAGTAAAAGACATCAGTGTATGCCAACTTATTAAGTACTCTTTCTTTGCATTACACAAAGGTTAACTAATGAACAGCATCATTGCACTGACTGTGCATTTACTAATTTAAAGTATATGTCGCGATTTCTTAGGAGCTCTTGATGAGTGCCCTGCTCCTTTATTTTTCCATTGTGCAGAACTACTATCAAATCTGCATTCTGTACTGTAGAGAGTCTGTGAGCGACCACTAGGCACGTCCTTCCTTTACTGGCCTTATGAAGGGCTTGCTGAACCACCTGGAAGAAAGAAGGACCTGTAATTGCTAGCTCAGGTTAGGTGCTAATAAATTTGCTGATGCCAAAATCAATAATGGTACTCAAATAACATCCTTTAGTTGCTTATTCCCAAGGAAACTGCTCTACTTTATAAATAGGTACTATTTCTATACTTAGAATCATCTGATTTACTGACTTCATTTCTTCTCATGGTTTTCCTCTTCTTTTTTGGAAAAATTTTTTTGTAAAACTGTCCTGGCTAAAATAATGTCTATGCTAACAATGAGGTTACAAAGCTGTACACAGATAATGAGAGTCGAGGGTGAATACATATATATATATATGTATTATATATATATATATATATATATATATATATATATATATATATATATATAAAATGTTTCAGTGATGACTTATCTCATTAAAATTTTTGCAACAATCCTGTATGGTAGGGGTATTTTCGATTTTCTGATGAGTGAATTAAGCTTTGAAAACTCAGGTCACTTTGACCAAGGTCATGCTACTAGCGATGGATAAATCTGGCATTATAGCCCAGATGTGTCTGATTCTAAAAGTCGTATTTTTTTCCTTTCGTAATACATGGTCTCTCCTTGGAAATCAAGAATGATAATCATTTACAAGTAGTAATCCTGTGAGATTAACCTCAGGGACTCCTGGGTTAAATATCTCTATTAAAGTTTAGGGAAGTCAGTTAAATTTTCTAAACCTTTGTGTATTAATTTGTACAGCAAGCATGTTAGTAAGCTAATTCACCAAGTTTTTGTGAAGATTGAGATAACAACATATTATCAACACTTAAATGTTAGTGATTATCAAATATTCTTTAACAAAGAAGTGCCTACAATGTACAAGAAACTACTAGGGGACTGGAACATATTAACAAAATTAAGCACTAAAGGAGCTTGCCATATAGGTCTGTTAGATGTCTGCTTCCTTCTCAAACTGAGTTGACTCAGTCTACAGAAGGGTGGTAAGTAGGAGGCTCTGACACTGCAGGTGGGTGATACCTTTGCATAAGTAGATTATCCCTTGTTTGGCAACCATGGGATAATAATAATATAACAAAGGTATTTTCCTTGGGCTCTTTTTCCTTGAGTGAAGAACATTTTAAATATCCAATGCTTTTGACAATGAGGCTACAATCCAAGAGAGAAAAAACCTTTCCAGGGCATACAATACCCTCTATCCAAACTCTTTTTACCTCCCCACCAGTCTCCAACCATTCTTTTTTTTTTTAGAAAGACCAAAACCTTAGTCAGAACTAGTAATCCTATGGTTACAATTCTCTATGGATCTTTCTCTCCCTAAACTGACTGGTTTCTTCTATGACTCTCTACTCTTATATTTGGTATTCTGTTCTGAGATGAAATAAGAGTATATTACCTTTTCACTCTCATTATCAAGGGCTGAAGTGGCCTCATCCAACAATAAAATTTTTGGTTTTCGGAGAAGAGCCCTTGCAATAGCTAGTCTTTGTTTCTGGCCACCAGAAAGCTGTGTTCCTTTCAGTCCAACTTGTGTGTTATATTTCTATTATAGAAATATAAAATTAAGAAAGCAAGGTGAGGTTATTTAATTAGCATGGCAACTGTAGGTAAGAACTAAAGATTTCAAATTAAGCTACTTTTGAATATTTGTGTCCCAACAAGTACTGAAATCTATCCTTGGGCTTTTGTGCAAATAGAGACTAAACCAGAAGTAAACACTACTATCTCATGTACGTGTCTAACAGGATCACAAATTGCCAACCATTGCCGTTATGCTTCTACAAAGGAACTCTTTGAATTAAAGCAGAACAACAACCAAACAAACCTTTGAATTAAAGCAGAACAACAACCAAACAAACCAAAGCTCCCGGTAAACAGAATTTTTTTCTATGAAGTTGTATTACTTTTTATTTATAGATCAAGACAATTTAAAGTATCTAATCACCAGGAAATCACTGGGTACCTTTACTCTGTTTCTCAATAAGTCTCTAAGGGCACATTTCTCCAAATATCAGTATACTTTCTCAGAGGTACAGACAGCTTCCTGACAATGTTTGGCAGACATTGTAAAACAGTTTATTTTTCTTTCCAGGCTATAATGATGACATTGAGCATGTCACAAAGTTTCTACAGGTCTCTTGCTTACTAATAACCTCTTCTCAAGTGTTTGCCTCCGATGAAGGATAAAGGAAATTTCACGTGTCCTGAAACCTTCAGTCTGCTATCACAATTGTTTGTTCAGTTAGTCAAAACCAATTCCTACTTTTCAGAGTTTCAAACTGCTTTCTAGTAGCTCCAGTTGGCTAACAAATACATGCCACTGATACCCAGATAAGAATGTGTACATGGGTCAGCTCCACTGGAATCAAGTCTAAGTATATAACCTTGTAATGGTGGACTCGGTAGAGGTATCACAAGATACAACATGTGATTAATATGCTATTCATTTGTTTTAGTACCCTGGAGAAGCCTGAATACATTCCATTCTCCTCTTCCCCTGACTGTCTCCTGGAGGTACCTTTCAAAGTAGTTATAAGAGAGCCTTTGCCATACCTTTAAGATAAATGTGTCCAATTCAACTCAAAGTTTATTTTTCAATTTAAAACATACAGATTCTTAATTTATATCAAACAATGAATATCTGAATTATTGATGCACAGTAAATGCATCTTTTCTGAAGTGAAAGCTCTAAAAAGAAAATAAATTTTGACTATTTTGGCATTGACAGCAAGCTGAGTCACTTTCTCCAAAAAATATATTTTTATTAATTTGGAATCCTATGGTGGGATAATTAGAAAAAAACTATGTCATTAATTTCCACATACAAAAGTTACCATTCAAATTAGATAATCCATTTTTAAACTAAAAACTAGGGAATAGGATGAATGGGGAGAGGGAGGTACTGGAAGGGAATAAAAATAGACTCGTAGTTCTTCCTGCCAGTCTAGCTTTAATTGTATATGGATTACTCTTGCTAAAGAAGATGAATGCTAAGAAATCACTTTGCTTTTCTTGGCCTTCTAAGGGCTGAAGAAAGAAATTCAAAAAAAGAATTGGATAAAATTTTGTTCAGTTTTTGTCTGTTGTTTAGTAGAACAGATTATACATGTGGACATACACATTGTTTCAGGTGTGACCTAAAAACATTTTCAGTTAAATAAACTGAAAGATCTATCTATCTATCTATCTATCTATCTATCTATCTATCTA